ATTTTGTTTTTCCAAATGAATTTTGCTATTATTTTATAAAGTATGCCCTTGATAATTTGTTTGGTATAGCATTAAAAGTATAAATTAACTTTGGTAGTATTATAATTTTTCTTATATTGGTACAACCTAGCCATGAGCACTGAATATTCCTCCACTTGTTGAAATTGTTTTTTATTTCTTTTTTTTTAGGGTTAAAAAGCAAATTGCATGCATTATCTCATTTGAATCTCACATACAAAATACTAATCCAATGACAGCTGGCAGAAATATTGTTATACTTAGTTTACAGTTGAAAAAACTGGAGTTATGTGAAATAAAGAGGCTGAGTGACTTGTTAGAAATCATACATCTGAAAAGGGAAGGACTAATACTTTGCCAGAGCTTTTTTTTGTTTAGTTGTTGTTGTTTTCTCCTCTTATAGAAGACAATCAATCATCTTTTGAAGACATCATGCTGAAATTATGTCTTGGAGTATAAAACTGACTTCTGTCATTGCAACTTTGCTATCCTTAACTTGTTCACATTCTGAAGATTCCTTGAGCCATTCCATCTCTTGTCGCCTTCATTTTTTCTTTCCTCCTTAATATGAGAAATTCCTTTAGTACATATCTTCTGTCCTATGTACTTTTCTCTCTTAACAATCTTTTCTTTTTTCTACTCTCTCCATTATTACGCCTCAATATGTGACTCTTTTTGTCCAATCCCAGCCTCTCAAGCTTCATTTCTATATTTCCTTCCAGTCTTGGCTGGTGAAGAGCTTGGTATTAGGCAGTTTTTGCCAGTTAGGGAACCATGTGATGAGGTCTAGAGGTTAGGGGTGCCAGAACCCCGAGATCACGACACGCGGGTCCTATCCAAAAGAATTTGACCCAGGCCTTCTTTCAGCCAAAGACAAGGTTTATTAAATATCTGCCATATTAGCGAGACTCTTGAGGAACCTGAGAGTCTGTGAGGTATTGGTTAGATTCTAAGAATCAGAGCAGTGGCTAGATTTTAGGAATCTGAGCCTGTTTTTTATTTCTTTAAGGAGCACTTTGTAATTTAATCTATCACGTGTCTTTTATGTACTTTGGTAGCCTGATCCACAGCTATTTTATGCATTTTATAGTTATTTGGAATGGGATTTTCTTTCTGTTGTTGGCTCTTGGATTTTATTATTATCATATAGAGATGCAGTTGATTTTTGAGGGATTATATTATAGTCTGCAACTTTAGTGATGCTATTAATTTTTTCAATTAGTATCTGCTGATTCCCTAGAATTTTCCAAATACACCATCATATCATCAGCAAATAAAGATAGTTTTATCTCTGCTTTATCTGTTTTTATGCCTTTAATTTCTTTTGTCTCATGACTGTTGCTGGCATTTCCAGAATTATATCAAATAATAGTGGGGAGAGTGGGCATCTTTTTTTATTCCTGTATTTGTTGGAAAAGGTACTAGTTTATCTTCATTGCATATGAAGCTTACTTTTAGTATTAGAGATATGCTTTTTTATGATATTAAAGAAAAGGTCCCTCTATGCATATGCTTTCTAAGATTTTCAGCATAAATGAATGGGATACTTTGGCAAAGGTTTTTTTATTTAATACATCTATGTGGTTTTGGATGTTTTGGCTTTTAGTATGATTATTTTGATTATTTTCCTAATGTTGAACTATCCTTGCATCTATGGCATCAATACAACTTGATCCTAATGAATCATTTCTTGGCTAAGTCATGTAATCTGTTTGGTAGTCTTTTGTTGAAAATTTATGAGTTAATCAATATTCATTAATGATATTGGCCTATAGTTTTCCTTCTGTGTTTTATTCTTCCCTGGTTTAGGTTTTAGGATTATATTTATCTCATAAAAGGATTCTGGTGGGGTACTTTTTTCTTTCTCAGTTTCTGAAAATAATTCGCGAAACATAGGTACTAATTGTTCTTTAAAAATTGATGTAATTTTCCTATGAATTCATCAAGACCAGGAGATTTCCACCTCTCGCCCCGGTAATTCTTTTATAGCTAAATTGATTTACTTTTCTAGATTGAGTTATTTAAGTTCTCTATGTGGTCTTCTGATAGTTTGGGTGTTTTATATTTTTGAAGATACTTCAGTTTTGCTAAGTTAACAAACTTACTCCTACTATCTTAATAAAGTCACGTGTGTAGAACACTGCCTAGGCAGTGGAGGAGATATAAACTTTGAAAATTATAACTGTCTCATGGAACTTACAGTCTAGTAGGGGGATAAGGCACAACTATAATACAACACAGCATGTAAGTACAATAGAGGATACAAAATTTGCTATATTTGGTCTGAGAAGGAAGATCTTTCCTGGTGGGGCATCAATGAAGTCTTTCATGTAGGAGGTGGCATTTGTTTTGTGATTTATAAAATGGGTAAGAATCCACCTGATAGAGAGGAGTTGAAGGTAGTCTAAGTGCAGGGAATAGTTTCAGAAAAGACAGAAAAGCAAAAAAGAGCAGAGATGAGGATTAAAGATTGAACAGTTTGGCTTCAGCATAAGGTATATGGAGAGGAGAAAGTAATAGGAAGCAAATTTTCCCTCAGAGCTTTTAAAATTATGTTTGGTTTAGCAGGGCCTTTCATAATTTGTGTTTAAGAAATAGCAAATTTTCAGTGTTATAATGAGATGAGGTCCTCAGTGAGATTAACTTCTTTCTTTAGCATTAGTCATGGCAGAAATTTGTATTGGGTTGATCTAAAAGACTTATAAAGCTTTAGACACCACAGCTTAATTGTTCTTTGATCTCTAACTCAAATGCACAATCCAGAGAAGCCCCCTTTGCATATGAGAGGAACATTTCAAAGAAGGGCACAGCTTCTGCCAGTTCTTTATGGTTTGACACATGGCACTAAATATAATTTTGAAGACAAATACACATGTAAGAAAGTGGTATAGGCTTATGTTTATGGCACCATTAAATGATCCTTCCCTGTGCCTATCAGTTTAATTCTTTAAAATCCTGGCCTTGCTACTTGCTACCTGAGTAACCTTGGGCACGTCAGTCTGTCTGTAGGCAAATAAGTATTTATCAGGGACCTACTGTGTGCTAAGCCCTGTCATTTAACTTATCTCAGTTTATTTGTCTTATTCATCAGAGTGACTTCAAAGGTACTCTCTAGCTCTAAAGCTATGATCTTATGATTCACTTTCTTTTTTAAAAATTTTATTTTCTTTTTAATTTATGAAATAAAACAAGCATTTCCATAACAGCAGGATTAAAAAAATGATGATTGGACATAAAACTGCAAATCTATTCTGTACAACTTGCTATTCATTAAAAATATATAACATTATCATGTAGCTTTCTTTTTTTATCCTTCTTTTCTTCCCTCTCCTGCCAACCCTAGAGATGGCTACCATTAGACAAATATGTGTATTACACACACACACACACACACACACACACACACACACAAACACACAACATGTGTAAAATCATTCTGTACATACTTCTATTTATCATTTCTTTCTCTGGATGCAGATAGTGTCTTCCTTCATGTGTCCTTTGTAGTTAATTTGGGTATTTATAATAGTCAAAATGACTTAGTCACTCCAAGTTGTTCTTTAAACAATATTGCTGTTATAGTATACAACATTCTCTTGGTTCTGCTAGTTTTGCTCTTCCTTATCTCATGCATGTATATCCCTGTTTTTCTAAAATCATGGGGTCACAGGATGTTAGTAATAGTAACAATGGCTAGCATTTAAATACCACTTTTAGCTTTGCAAAGCCCTTAACAAATATTATCCCATTTTATTTTCACAACAACCCTTGGAAGTAGGTGTTATCATTATCCCCATCTTATAAATGAGGAAACTGAGGCAAGCAGAGGTTAAGTGATTTTCCCAAGGTTAGTGCTAGAAGGGATGTTGAACATCATCTTGTCCAACCTTCTCATTTTATGGAATGCCCTATAATACTTTCTAAAGATAGCTTTCAAGGTAATAACTGACATTTACATAGTACTTTAAGGTTCAAACACTTTTCCTTTGATCCTCACAATAACCTGTGAGATGAGTACTATAGTTATCATTATCCTCATCTCACAGATGTTTAACAAGAAATAGATAGAAAGATCTCAAATGACTTGTCTGACATCATAGAACTAGTCTTGAATGGGACTTGAACCCGGGTCTTTCACACTCAACATCCAGTGTACTATCCATTATGGCATACTCTCTCTTGCATGCAGCATTTAAACAAAAGTAAAAAGAGTTTCCCCAGGAAACGTTAACAACTGCAAGTAAGAGCTACGGAACACATAAATCATGTATGGCAACACACCCCCTCATTCCCTAAGCAAAGGTCCTTGAATAATTTATTTGTGAGACGGTAGAAAGTAAATTTATTTAGGAAGAAATCTTTTAATCACTACCCATTTGACTGAGTTAATTTTAAAATCTCTCACTTAGTCTTGTTAGCTCATGATTGAACACTTTATCCTGGCTGCAGTTTGTAAGCAAAGCACCTTATGCTTCATGTATCTGTGCTATAAATTATAGGTGAGGTGGTTGAAATGCTTCTTGTCTCAGGTTACCAAACGATGCTCTTTGCAAGAAATCATTATCCAGGGGCAGCTAGGTGGCACAGTGGATAGAGCACCGGCACTGAAGTCAGGAGGACCTGAGTTCAAATCTGTCCTCAGACCAAACACTTGACACTTATTAGCTGTGTCACCCTGGGCAAGTCACTTAACTCCAATTGCCTAAAAAAAAGGAAAAAGGAAAAAAAAAAGAAATGATTGTCCAGAAGTCAGGGAGAAAGTTGCAACTATCAGTTTGCTAAGAAATTAATCCAAGGCCTGAAGATTCCACTCAGTTTAATGGCTCATCAGTATTCAATGACATTTTTTTTTTTGATAGGAGCAAAAGGCTTAAATTAGAGAGGTTACACCCTTTTTCTTTTCTTTTTTAAAAAAGTTATTGATGTCGTTTTCATTACATCATCATGATTTCCCCCATTATTCCTTTTCCTCCCCATTCTAGAGAGCCACCTTAAGTAATGTTGAGGGCCAGAACTGAAGAAGTTTAAATATGGGCTTATTTATTCAGAATCTTTTGGCTCACCAATTTCTCATGCCTGGATACTCTGACCAGTCCTTGAACCCTGATATGCAAGCAGGTGTGTATAATTAAAGTAACACCTGAGGGCTGGGATTAGCCATGAGGGCCTCGGGGGTGACTGTTAGCTTTCACTATTTAAACTGGACCCTCAGAATAATAAACGGCTCAGTCTTTCACTGATCTTGCCTGGCTCACCTCTCCTCATTTCACACTTCTCTGTTTGATGCAATACTTAGTCGCGGGCGACAGGTGGTGCCCGAACAGGGACCCAAAGAGGTACGAGAGAAGTGGCTCTCTTGGAAACTCCGGAGAAAAAACCCTTGGCAGCTCTGCGCTGTGGAAACAAGGTCCTTGGCGGTTCTACACTGGGGAATCAAGGTAAAGTGAGCAAAGGTCACAACACCCTCTCTTTTAGCAGTTTTAGGGCTAAAAGGACACCAGGCTAAAGTGGGGATATACGGAAAACAAAAGAAAAAAGGCTCAGTAATAGGAGCATAAGAGAAGAAAAGAAAAGGGCTCGAGCCTAAGAATAGTATTGCTTTGGAAGGCCACGCGCACTTATGGTTTTGGGAGGCACGCCTGGGATCGAAAGTATGGGTCAAACACAAAGCAGAAGCAAAGACAGAGAATATTATCTACAACTTTTCAAGGAAATAGTGAAAGAAAGAGGTTTATTCATTACAAATGGTCAGTTACAGGAATTTTTGGAATGTGTAGAAACATGCGGCCTGTGGTTCCTTCAAGAAGGAAAAATAGACTTAGAAATATGGGAAACAGTGGGCAGACAAATGAGTGAGTACTATAGAGAAGTAGGTCCAGGTGCTTTCTCCATAGCTACATTCTCAATTTGAAATGTGCTAAAAATATGTTTCACTCCTCCTTAGAGGATGTGTTCTTAACAACAAAAGTACTTAAGGCAGATGCAGGGGCAGGAACTGAAGAAGAAGAAGAGATGAATAGAGTATTTGAGAAAAAGCTTAGAATTGTAGAAGATGATATCTATGCAAAATCTATTACACCTTCAGCACCACCACATCCCTCACCTTCACATAGATCAAGCTCATACAGAGAAGATAGTGAGGAGATAAATAAAGATCAGAAAAGCCATAAAATACATTGTAAAGGGTTATTAGAAAAAGCAATTATAAAAGCAGAGGAAAAGGGAGAGGAAGTACCCATGGAATTAAAATTAGCTGTGCCAAAAACCATGCTATTTCCAGCATATGAGGAGGAAGATGTAAATAACCCAGGTACAAACATTAGAGTTCATAGACAGTTTGAATTTAAATTGTTAAAGGAATTAAACCAGGCCTCAGTTAATTAGGGATCCAATACAGCATTAGCCCCATATGACTGGTGTTCTATAGTAAAGATATGTCTTGATCCTGGAGATTATTTCATTTGGAAGTCAGAATATTTTGAACAATGTCAAGAACAAGTAAAATACAATATCAGAACAGGGGTTAACAGGGAGATACACAGAATTACAGGAACAACTGCAATTTCCCCTTTAAATTCCTCAGGATAACAATAATAATAGCCAATTCATGTTAAGGGTTCCTAATTTTTTCTCTCTGTGTCATTAAGTGTGCACTATGTCACTATGTATTGTATTTGTCCTGTCAATTTGTTGTGTGTGTTGGTGTGTGTCTCTGTAACTGTACTTTATAGGATTTTCAATGCAGCCAGAGACTTCTGGGGGCTGCAGCTAGGGAAACAACAAATTGCAAAACTCTTTTCCTTGTGGGTCTAGGCCTGACCAGCCTGGACTTAACAGTGAAAAGTTTTATACAGGTAAAAACATCTTAAACAGATTCTGAGATTTTGAGATTAATCATTAAGAAATTGGGAAATTGTTCGTTTTGGGACTGTTAAGGGCCTCCCAGATGGGTGGACCAGTGACCGCTTAATCTAGGAAAAAAATCAGGGCTCTTCAAGAGATAGCAGAGGAACAGTTTAGCTTCAGGACACATAGAACCATCCACAAGTCCGTGGAACTCCCCAATATTTGCCATCAAAAAGAGGTCAGGAAAGTGGAGGATATTGAAGATCTCAAACAGAAAAACATGTTAAGAAACCTTTGGAACTTAGAAAAGTATTGACCAGTTATAGATACGTGGTTTAAGCAGAAGGTGCATCTTTGTGAAGAATTGATTAAAATAGATCAACTAAAAACAGCTGGAAAAAGATATTGGATACCACATACAGGGACTTTTAAATAATCAACGATTGAACTTAGATGTCAGCAAAATAATATAGTACTAGAAGATATAATAAAGTCCAGAATAGGGATTCCTATTACTGTGGAACACTTGACAAGAACAGAGATCAAAAACTTTTAACAACAAAACGAGAGGTACAGGCAGCTTAGGTTTTTGCTTAAAAACATGGTTTTCCAAAGGCAGTTCACATGTACATAGGATATTTTTCCTTCTTTTTAATGAGGAGAGGGAAAACAGTAGAAAAAGACTTTAATAACAACAGATTTTGAACAGCTTCTTTGGTAAGTTTTACAAGAACTCTTTAAATGCTTCATGTCATCACTGTCCCAAGTAGAAGGGAAAATCAGTTTTTAAAACTTTATTACTAACAAATAGTGGAGGTATAAGCACAAAAATTAGGAGCTGGTTATGGTTCTTATAGTGTGTACCTTGTCATGAGGTGGAAAAAATAGTTTGAATTATCTGTCCACTCTTATAGACTTATTTCACCCCTCCAAGAAAGCAAGATCACATATAATTGCCAATCTCAGCTAATTAAGATGCTTTACATCGGAGTAACATGAGTGGCACAACTTAAGATTGAGGCATATTGGGAAAGCTGTATAGGAAACCTCATGCTTTCTCCTACTCCTGAATCTGTTTGAGTTTTGACTTTTCAGAAGCATCTAAGTTTTTCAAAAGGAAAAAAGCCTTGTTTTATAGGCTGCAAGAACAATTACAATTGATTTACCCAAGAGGGAAAGAATGAGTGTTTCAGGTGCTGTCTTTAATTCTGCAAACAGCCAGGGCCCCACACCCATTTATTCACCAACGTTTTTAGAGAGAAGGAAAGCTCAAGCAGCTGAAATGAATGATGATAAAGTAGATAATGAAATTGTACTTAAACTACCACCAATTGTTAACAAGAAAGTAACACCATTGACTCAGACTCCACCAAGTTCAAGAGGAAAGGCAAAGAACAATGAAGAATTATCCTGAATATGGCATCTGCTCAGGGAGCTTGGGTTTTGTTATTAGAACCTATTCGTGTATATGATGGCAGTTCTGAGTAGTTCTTCTTAACCATTTGTTAATTGTTAATTTTGAATGGGTGTTCTTATCAGCACAACCAAAATACGCTCTGCAAACATATCAAAGAGTAGGTAGTAGACAAATGACCAACAAAGAATTCTTTGCATATACTTCAAGGCATTTAAATAATACAAAGACACTGTGAGTGACATGTCCTACTGTGAATTTAGAGAAATTGAATTTCATTACACTGAGTCTTTAGGATATTTGGAAACTTTTCAGGTTGGATTTTTTTTTCTGGTTAAAAGCACTTGTTTATTGGTTGAAATATCAACTCATGGCAACCTGTTTCACTGAGCTACTGTACAAATACAAAGATCAAATCTATTGGAAGAAGTTATAAACAGAAGTTTGTAGCAAGTGACCATTTCACAGGGAAGTCATTGATGTAGAAGCAGTATTGGAGAATAATAAGTCCCTGGTTTTTATTAGCTTAAATTAAAGCTGTTAAAACTTTATCTGGATACAGACACACTCCAAAGGCAGTGTGGAATCGATTCATCTTTTGTAATATTTACTGACTTATCTGGTCCGAGTCAGCACAGAGTGTTTAAAACAAATATTTTAAGATGAGAAGAAATATAGTGGAAATCTGACGAGTATACAGTGACTGTGGAACAAAAGTTTTTAGAAAAACCAGTTGCATTTGGACTCCTTTGGATGTAATATGTAATACAAGTGTTCAAATGCCTCTTAGGAAAGGAGAAAAAACACAGAATAGAGCATCATTGGTAAGTAAAACAAAGGCTTGAAATATCTAAAGACTATTCCTCTGAAGTCCATAATAGTCAAAAACCTAGCATACTGTGTGTGGTACAATATTTTGTCAGGCACATTTAATCTGTTATCAGTTATGTCAATTAGCAACACTTTACACATTTTACCATTACAACACTGCATTAACATTGTGCATGTATTTTATATAACCAGTAACTGGATGAAAAGGCCTGTGGTGCCTCCAAAAGTGTAGGAAGAAATTTTGCCAGCATGCATGACAGATCACTAAATATAAGGTGCCCCAGCAGCTCATGCTTGCTTAATTTATACGTGAAATGCGATCTTAAAATCAGTCATTAAAAAAATAGTAATGGAATGTTTTTCATGCTTTTCAAAATAAAACATCACTGGGATCCCATATAACCCTACAAGTAATTGTGAAATGAAAAAATAGATCCCTGAAAATGCTTCTTCAAAAGCAAAAAGGGGGAGAAGCAAGGGGAATTGGCACAAGCGGTATATGCTCTAAATTTTCCTACACCTGATAGAGAAGGCTATCCCCTGGCTGAAAAACACGTTAAGGTTTATGGGAAAGAGAATAATGAAGAACAAAAGACTCAAAAAAGAGTCATGTGGAAGGACCCAAAAGCCAATCATTGGTTTGGGCCAGAATGGTTGTTAACCTGGGGGCGAGGGTCTGCTTCTGTCTTTCCAGATGGCGCAGAAAGACCAATATGGATTCCTGAATGGAACATCCAGATCTGTGCTCAAAACTTCAGACACTTGGACTGCAGAACAAGCATAGAGACAAAAGAACAAGAAGAGAACATCCGAGACGATGGAGGAGGACAACAAAGACATTGCAAATGATGAGCGTGCTGAAGTTGACCACCCTGAAGTTTGATAAAAGCATTGACTCTCATTTTCCCCTGTATCCTTGAGGACAATGTACTCTTTCATTTTACAAGGACAAGCCGGTTAGAATTAAGTCTCCTCTCCTCCACCTTGTGATGTGACTCTTTAAGGGAAGAGTCAACCCTAGGACACATTGCTAAAGTGACTGACATCGTATATGGAGAGTCATGTGTTCATCGCTTATCACCTTGTAGGGGGAATTATACAGTTTCAAAGGGAAAGCTAGTATACCTCTAATGTGTTTCAGGATAAATGTAAATTTTGATCATTGTGCTATGTGGGATATTGCATCCTCTGTATCACTTATTGTATATACCAGAGCATTGGCTTGGAAGGTATCATTGGCATAATGTTGAATTTATTGGAGATCTTTGATTCTGATTTGTCTTTTGCTAAGTCATTTCCCAGGGACTCAACCCTAGAACCTAGCTCGAGAAATTCTGGAACATTGGGCGAAACCAATATATTTGAAAAGGTTGTTCAATGGGTAAATCATTGTTCAAGTCTTTGGGTACAGATATTCATCACCTTAAGTCAATTAAAAAAGAAATGGGGAATTGTTGAGGGCTAGAACTGAAGAAGTCTAAATATGGGCTTATTTATTCAGACTCTTGGCTCACCAATTTCTCGTGCCTGGATACTCTGAAGTGATATGCAAGCAGGTGTGTATAATTAAAGTAACACCTGGGGGCTGGGATTAGCCATGAGGGCCTTGGGGGGTGATTGTTAGCTTTCACTATTTAAACTGGACCCTCGGAATAATAAACGGCTCAGCCTTTCACTGATCTCGCCTGGCCCATGTCTCCTCATTTCACACTTTTCTGGTGCCGGAGACAATGTAACACTATTTTTAAAGAAAAGAAAGTAGAATCGGCTTAACTGATCAATACTTTGAAAAATTCTGAAAATTGCTACAATATGCAACACTTATTGACCTCCCATCTCTGCAAAGGGATGGGGTTGGGAACATCTGCTCATATTTCTTCTTTTCGGACAAACTTGTTCTTTATAATTTTTCAGCATTCACTTTTGATTTTTGTTTGTGTAGCTCTTTCCATTTACATTGTAGTAAGCATGTGTAATGTTTCTTGGCTCTGTTTACTTCACTAAGCATCAGTTCATGGTTCTTTCCATGATTCTCTGTATTCATTTGTCATTTCTTATAGTACAGTGATATTCCAGTGCATTTATATGTCACAGTTTGTTTGGCTGTTCCTCAGTTGATGGGCATCTACATTGTTTCCATTTCTTTCTTATCATAAAAAGTGCTGCGTCTAATATTTTGGTGCATGTAGGGACTTTTATCTTATCAACGGGCCACCTTGCAATATAAACAGTAGTACAATCTGAGCAATAAGCTATGACATTGTAGTCACTTTATTTGCAGAATTCCAAGTTGCTTCCCAAAATGTTTGTATTTCTTCATAGCTCCACCAACAGTGCACTAGTGTGTGCCTATCTTCCCACAACTCCTCCAACATTGACCATTCCCATCTCTTGTCATCTTTGCCCATTTGGGAGCATTCTTTCATATAGTTGTTAATAATTTGCAGTTCTTTTGAGAATTGTTTATTCCCTTTGATTACTTATCTATCAGGGAATTGCCTTTCCACGCGCGTGTGCGCACACACACACACACACACACACACACATGTACGTACGTGTTTTCCTTCTACCTACATGGCTAGTCCTTCTCAGTCTCCTGTTGGATCTTCATCCAGATAATACCTACTAACAACCATGGTGTCCCACAGCACTCTGTACTAGGTTTCTCCCTCTCTATTTAGTTTGATGACCTCAACAGCTCTCATGGATTCATTTATCCTCCTTATATTTATGATTCTCTAATCTACTTATCCAGCCCTGAGATCTCTGCTGAGCTCCAGCCTACTGTCTCCAACTGCCTATTAGACATCCTGAACCACGTATTCTGTAGACATCTCAAACTCAACACGTCCAAAACCAAACTCGTTATCTGCCCCCCCAACCCCTGCCACAAACTTCCTTATTACTGTTGTGGGCACCACCATCATCCCAAGTGTTCCAGGCTCACTACCCAGGTGTCAACCTCGACTCCTCACCATCTTTCACCATTCCCCATATCTAATATGTTGCCAAGGCCTGTTGATTTCACCTTTGCAGCATCTCTCATATAGGCTTGCTTCTTTCATCTGATATTGCTACCATCCTAGTGTAGGCCCACATCTCTTCATACTTGGGCTACTATAATATTCTGCTGCTTTGTCTGCCTGCCACCAGCCTTTCCCCACTCCAGTCCGTCTTTCGTTCAGCCATCAAAATTATTTTCGTAGAGTAGGTCTGACCATGTCACCCTCCTACTGAATGAATTGTAGTGGCTCTGATAATCTTTAGGATCAAGTATAAAATCCTTTGGTATTCAGAGCCTCTTCTAACCCAGTCCCACCTACGCCTGGCATTTCTAATCTTCTTATGCCTTATATCACTCCCCCTATACCCCAAATGTACTCTGTGATCCAGCTACACTAGCCTCCTTGTTGATCCTTGAAGGATATACTCTCTCTTCTGACGTAGGGTATTTTCTCTGGTTTTTCCCCATGCCTAGAATGCTCTGCTTCCACATCTCTGCCTCCTGATTTTCCTGTCTTCCTTCAAGTTCCATCTAAAATCTAACTAGTTCTCCAAGAAGCCTTCCCTAATTCTCCTTAATGCTAGTGTCTTCTCAGTTATCTTTAATTTATTCTGCATATGTATTGTTTGTACATAGTTGTTTGCATATCTTCTCCATTAGATTGTAGGCTCTTCAAGGGCAGGGACTGTCTTTTGCCTTTCTTTGTATCCCCAGTACTTAGCACAGTGCCTGAAACACATTAGGTTCTTAATAAATGCTTATTGACTGACCAAAGAAGATATATTGAGAACAAAAATTACGAATATTTCCCTCAACAACATCCTGGGGCAGGCATGTTTCCTTTTAAACAAACCACTTTGCTCTCTAGAGAGAGTGTACTCAAACTTAACATGACTTCTACAGATATTTGCCCCATCAAATTCACTTATGAATGTGTGGCATAACTAGTGGAAGAATCGCTATCCCTTACTTTCATCTCTACTGTGTCAAATACATTGTTTTGGAGTTTACTTTTCACAGCTAGCCCCCAAATCTTATATGAACTGTGGCTTCCAGACCTCTGGAGGCTCAATACTCTGAACCTTTAAAGTTTACAAGGTCGTTGCTGTCTCCAATACTTTTTCACTAAAAGTAGAAAAGAACAAGTAAAAAGAGACAGAGATTCAAGGCCCATATTTACCAGCCACATTTTAGCTCCAGGTAGGGAATGCTTAAGGCCTCTCCCCTTCTGCAGGTTTCCATCATGTCTCTCTCCTCAAAGACAGCTAGGCAGGAAAGAAGAGTCAGAGACTGGCTTTAGCTAGCTAGTGCCTTTTAAGTACATTCCAGTTTCAGCTCAGCAGATAATTAGTAGTGCAGCTCTTCACCATATGGTTAGTAGATCAGAAACAGGTACAGATGTGTTCAAAATTGTTCCAAAATTGGGTAGTCTGTTCCACAGAGTAGCAGGATCCTTCCATAGACACGTAATTATGCCTTTTTGGAAGTTGGCTCCCTAGTCTATTCCATTTGGACTGGGAGCAGGCAGAGCACTCTGAATGTGTTGAGGATGGAGCTCCATGGGGAAGGGTCTCATTACATATACAAAGTAAATGCAGGGTCATTTCGATGGGGAGGAGACTGCCTAGGATATTAAGGTACACTTTGTATAATAGGTGAGACTTGAGCCTTATTAATGGGAGCTAGAGATTTTATGAGGAGTACATTCTAGGCACAGAAGTACATTCTGGGCAAGGAAGAAAAATCTCAAACAGTTAAATTTAGTGAAATGAGTGGTGAATAATTTGTGACTAGTTTTATAAAATAATTAACCAAAAATGATAAGGTAGTTGGTCCACCCCAATAATCTCAAAAGAAGGAAGATATTCACTAAATATAGAATAATTAGATCTGAATCATCCAAATAAGAAGATGAATATGTTAAATAAATTTAAAGTCTTGTAAAATAACATTAAACTTCTGAACTACTTAGAGCTGCTAATCAAGGTCCTCACTCCCATCCCATATGCTGACTAGGTACAAACCAGTACAATCCATCTCACAGATTTGTGTTTGAGGGTTCAGTTATGTATGTATTAGGGTCCTTGCCTGAATCCCCTTGGGATTTAGTCAATATGAGCTTCCACATACACTTACATAATTACAAGATGAAAGACATTAATTCTGCCTAGCCACTTGAAGGAAAAGCAGTGCAACTTGGCAACAGAAGCATGGAAGATGACAGTCTAGAGTCAATTAGAGAGAAAGCCTTAAGGGCTTCTGTGCTAAGAGAAAGTGAACCAGAAATCCATTTGGAGTCAGTCTCCTCTCCAGGAGTTTACTCTGGGCAATGAGCCTTCTACATACCTAGATCTTTCAGTATAAGGAAGCTGAGGATTCCCGGTCTCAAGGTCTGTTTAGCTGTAGAAGGGAAGCCAGAGATAAACTCATGAGAATAGAAGAAAAAGGCTAAAAGATAAAAAGTCCGAGGAAGAAAGGCTGGATATAAATCTAATTCTCAAGCAGATCAGCCAACAATAGGACTCAAAAGACAGAAGGAAAAATTAGTGAAAATTCAAAGAAAACATCCTAGCATATCAAATATGTGTTTTATATAATATGAAGAAAAAAATGACCCAAAAATACACAGTGAAAAAGAGAAATTTATAGATTATAGAGATAATTAAACAACAGCAAGAAGCTCTGGAATGGTTTATTAAAATAAGATGTTAATGTTGCCCAGCAGAGATAATCATAATAGCTGGTTCAGGGCATGACCATCTCTGGAGGTGTGTACTACTTCTTTCTCTTTAGTGGGTGGATAAAAACAAAGAAACCCCAAAGCCTCTACAAAGTGACTGGTCTGCTTGGAGATAAAGAATAAGATGAACTGATGGAGATTTTAATCTAGTTCTGGGCAAAGGCTCCAGCTCCATGTGGCTTCCTTTCTTTACAAAGCTTAAACAAATCATAAAATGTTTTAAGATGCCAGGTAATATGTTGATTACCAAGCCTCGATGCTGATCTTTCAGTTGAATGTAACATGCTGACTAAAATAACCACAGGTCTTCCTTCTCTCTGTCGTAGCCTGTATAGGAAAAACACAAACAAGATTCCATTAAAATTATCTTACCTTTATTTAGATAAGAAATAAAGAAACCCTTGTTAATTAACTACAAAACAAAAGGGAGAAATATAGACTGGACTAGATTCATCATTGTTCTATTATTCTCCAAGAAATGAGAGAATTCAGTCATTCTCTTCTGGATTTTTTTTTTTTTGGCAAGGCAATTGGGGTTAAGTGACTTGCCCAGGGCCACACAGCTAGTAAGTGTCAGGTGTTTGGTCTGAGAGCAAATTTGAACTCAGGTCCTTCTGACTGCAAGGCCGGTGCTTTATCCACCACACCACCTAGCTGCCCCTCTCTTCTGCCAGGAAAAGGAAATATCTCTAGCCACATTGAGGCTACTTAGTTTCCTGGGGAGAACCTTCCAGCTACAGATAGCAGCTACAGATACTTTCATCACTGAAATCTGCTTCCAACTCCCCTCTTGTCCCTTTCCAGAGATATTTTTTTTTAAACTCCCACTGTTCAGAGAAACTACCTTCCAGTACTGATCCAGTACTGAGACAAGAGTCCTTCACTTGGAAGAAAAACAACTTCTAAGGCTCTCA